GCTGCTGCTGCCCCTTGGTCATCTGGTTCTTCGGATGCTGTCGCTGCTTTGGCTGCTGCTGTTGGCCAGGTTCCACAGAAGGGAGGGGTGGGAAGGACTGTGACCTCGAGCGTGAGCGGGAGAGGCTGCATGAGGTCTCGTTTTCCTTGCTGAACCGCCTGCGTTTGGGAGTGGGTGGGTTACGATGGAGGTTGCGGCCCCTGGCTGGTGCTGCTGGTTGAGGAGGTGGCCGTGGGCGCGGGGCCTTCAGTCTCTGAGAGCACTCTTTGGCGCCCGTTAAGTGGGCATCTCCACACAAGTGACATTTGGGAGCACAGAAGTGACCGTCAACGGGGTTGAGGATGCCACACTGCCGACACACGGGAGTGTTTGGCGTGGGGCATACGTCTGAGCGGTGCTCCGGTTGTAAGCAGACTTGGCAGGCTTGTCGCGTCGGCTTGTACGGGTGACAGGCCACCTTCCCACCGTAATACAGTACATATCGGGGCAGAAGGGGGCCTTCAAAAGTGATCACGGCAGATTTGGTAGCACCAAGTATTCGTGCACTGTGCATTGTCACTCCCTGCGTGTGCACGCAGAGGTTGGCGGTGAGTTCTTCCGGAGTTGTGCCAGGGTCTATCCCATGAATAACTCCCCGCAAGGTGCCCTCAGGGGCCGCCACATAGGTATTGAATTCGTAGGTCTTCTTCTCAAGCGTGAGGGTGGTGATCCGACGAAGAATTTCGGCCGTCTCAACATGTGGCGTGCTGGCAATGATGATGTTCGGCCCGGGGCGAGTACGTATAATGAAATGATCACCAGTACAATGTTGTCGAGAATTGCCCGCCACTGCTACGGCTCGGGAGATTTGATGCGTAGTGAAGTTTCGAATGGCCAGGCCCTTTTTCGGGCGCATGATAATCTTTATGTCCGTGCGTGGAAGCGGCGGCGGCTTTCATCGTAGCTGGCGCGGCTTTGTTACGGGTGGTGGTGTTCGCGCCGGTGCGACGCCGGCCGCGTCTGCCTGCGCAGCAGGAGCGCTCGCAGCCACAGCCTGCCCCGGCGTTGACGTGGCCGGGCGGAGTGCTTGCAGGACCGGCCGGCTGCATCAATTCCACTCGAGCTTTGTCGACTTTTTTTGGCGTTGACGCTGGCGACGGGAAATCGCCAGTTTCCAGTTGGCGTCGGTGTCGCTCGCTGGTCCCAGCAATGCAGACGATGTGGGGTGGTGCACGGCAACTTCATCTTCGCTTGCCGAAGTGAGCTCGTCGAGGTCGAGAGAGTTCGTGTTAACATGGGTGTCGTTGGGGCTGAATGCAGGATGAACGCATCCGGTAGTAGTCACGTCAGCAGTTGGCGTATTGCTAGCGTCCATATTGTTGTGGAAGGGGTCCCGCCGTTAGGCCAAGTCCCCCGTACTCGCACAGGCGAGCTGGGTCGACGCTTAGGCCCAGCGGCCCAGCGCTCACATGGGTTCTTCTGAAGGCGATAGAGAAAAATGGAGATGCTCTACAGCCTCGGGAAGGGTGTGCGGTTCCCAGGACAGTAAAAACTTGGTGATCCGACACAGTGCCGGCGACGATATCGAAGTAATCCGGTCAACGAGAGCACACGTTCGGCGGAGCGTATGCGACGCGCGTCCGCTCGCTCCAGCGTCCACCGTGCGTCTCCTGTACAATGGTCCCTCGATTGTGCATTGCCCGGTCAGGCAACAACCCGCATTTTGTGACAAATTGATTTGGTCCCGGCAAAAGCACCATAGATGTGATGCATAAAAAACCTCAATTATTTGGTGAAATTTTGCGCTCACCCCCACTTTCTGATATCATCTGAGATGAAAAAAAGAAGCACTTTTTTATTCGAATTTTATGCTGACCAAATATTGGCTAATGCATAAAAAAAACTTGCGTACAGTTAGGATGAGGTATAAAGAGTAAAACCGACACAGCATGCCTTCTTAGAACGAAAAATTCTTCTGGCAGCCCATTTGCTTCTGTAATTCAGTTTTCCTGGCTTTGAAATCGCTTCTGGATGCGTCTTGAATTGCGAGTGTATTCCAGGGCTGTTACATAGACAAGCTCTATCTACACTGAGTAGGTTCAGCTAGTCGACAAGCTTGCATTCGAGATGTACATTTTTTTGTTCATATTTTCGACCAATGTAAACTTTCCTTGATTGTTTCCTAGTTGACATGCCCTTGAGGATCTCCTCCTTTCGTTTACAGCATTCACAGTTATAGGCCTCCACCATGCAAAAATGATGCAATGCATCTATTTTCAGCGTGCAAGTTAGCTTTCCCTTGAGATGAATGTTCGTAATAACTGCTCCACTTCAGCAGTTGCACTTCACTAGGTAGCAAATATGATGGGCATGGCTCAGATGTGCATGAAATCATCCTGTGGTACTTCACTACAAAGTTTACTTTGTAGCCACCATAAAGAAAGGAATACGGTACTACTATAAACGTTTTTCAATGCAAAGCCAAAATATTAGGGCGAAATAATTTCCCCAATGATATTGCTCTGGCCCAGCGGGCTGAGTCCCGTTTCGTTGGATTCGGATTGTCACGACACGTGTGTCGTGCATTTCACATGGTTTTCGAGCCGGAAAGGGAGATCGCTAATTGCATGTAAATAAGAGAGCAGAATCTGTTCAGTCAATATGGCCGACTTATGGCTTCACCGCGGCTTTACAGAGAGTGATGTCAGGGCCTCTCCTTAGCCTTTCTTCCCTTCGTGGTTACCATTATGTGATAGTGACGATACTAAACCTGACTCTTCCCCACTGGGATGGCTGACTGTTCAGCCCACTCGGATGTAGGAGCAGATGTTAATTCCATCAAGTGTTCTGGCATTTCGTAGCGTGTTCAGTGGGGTGGCATGCGAAAAATTAATCGCCATAGCATTCTTTCGCGGGTTCACCTTGAATGTCGATGATTTCATCTTGCACCAGCCCATCCAGCAGCACCGAAACAGGTTGCCTGTTGAGGCGCTTCATGTTGCCATTGGGTTCAGCAGGAACGAAAATGATGGGTGTTGGCCTCGGGCCCTTGCGGCACACATTCATTCGGTGCGTTAGGTGATGAAGAGGCCCTGGTGTTACGTCTTTTCGTCGTTTGGCTTGTTACAAGTTCGAAGTTGTCAGATAGCCTCTCACCTGTCAGTGATTAAACACCAGTGTTCCTCGCTGTCGCAATAAGGGCCCATAGGTACACTTCCTGGACGTGGCCACCGTGAATGCCGCAGCAGGTGGCAGATATCCAAACTGGTTTATGTTGATCATTGATGAACACAGTAGGAGGCTTCATGAGGTTCACGTATTATGGTGCAAAAGACGTAAGAGATACTCAAACAGTGTATAAATCAAGGACGAGTTGACAAACTGTAAAAGGTTCCGCAGGACATGCCGTATACCTGTTGGTACAATTGACCATGCAGCAGTTCATGATTCCGTTATACTACCTGCTAGCGGGCGTTGGGAGAGCGTTTGGTTCTGCTAGGGCTCTCAGCAACTCTCTACTTCTACGCCTGGGAAGTGGCGCGCTAGTTGCAGTTGAAATAGTATATTAGATGATTACTTAATTAAGAAAAGTTTAGCAGGGCCCCACTAAAAGAATGTAATCTACTTTATTGGAGAAGGGCAGGGCTTGATGCAAGCTTCTTTAGACGGTCTGTGCCCATTTTTCAGACGATACTGAATGTCGATGCCTATATTTTCAGTTTTTTGATCTTACGACAGCCAAGTTATAGTACGACGATTTTGTATAGTCCCTTCAAAGTCATGCAATCAGGATTCCACTGTATTTTCAAAAATGCGCATGTGGAGAGGGCTCAGCACATGCAATCAAACTATCTCTCAGTACTATCGAATAACGTTCACTTTAGTAGAGAGAAACAAAATGCGTACTGATGCAGCCGTCGGCTTTCCTCATGAGAAATTCTTCATACACTTCACATGCTAACTTCTCGCTACTTCACCCGATCACACTCGTGTCCATTAACAGTGGCACACAGGGACATGAAGCAAAATCAAATGGCGGGTGGGAACCACACCATTCTGTTTTATGTTCCCCAGTGGTTGCAAACCAGGTTTTGCAATTATCATTTCACTCTACTAACATTGTTGATTTAGAGAAGGAAACAAACTGCATTTTGTATTTGAAGAAGTCATCACACACTGCACTAGCGTGCTGGGAGTCTAAACAGGAAGATGATCATGTGGCACCAATGCCATGAACTGTCGTCATAACGTGCACCTTGAAATTTTTGCGATTTGTGAACCTGTAGTGACTACAGTAGCTATGCACTTAAGATTCACCTTTGTACATGTACTTTTGTACAAGTGTGTGAAAATCGCTTTGGAACTTCTTCAAGTCAAGTCTCTTGGTTGCCTGGTTGAGTACGGTACTTTTGTTGCCGACAGAGAATGATGTGTAATCGCTATTTATCAACGATTATGTAAAATTTAGTATTCACAGATTGTTCGTGGGTTATGACATGCTGTTATACACATGGTTCCATTTCTATTTGTATTGGTTTGCCACTGCACTGCATCGATTTTGTAATCAAAGGGCAAGAGGCATTGTGTTGCACTGGCTGCAGGCCATATGAGTATTTGGGGTTGGTCTTGTGACTGTTGCATGATATTTAGTAAGTCTTCTGAATGGGAAAGTATGCAAGAAGGGTAATTGTCTTGAGCAAGTAAGTATTGTTACTCTCCTGAGTAAGTGAGCATGGCAACAGTGAAGTGTCTGAAGTCACTGTGATTGAAGAACAAGGTGATGGTTGTTCTAAGTTTTCTGCTGCTTGTGTGCTGTGAACACAGCTAAAAAATCACTACTACAAGGTTGGTAGTATATATCCCACAAAGTGTGTGGGCTCAGAGCAACCTGCAATTAGACGCATGAATTTCTTCCCTCGCCCTCTTGTTGGTGCGTCCACATGAATTTTAACGCTGGCGGGTATGCTGTTTTTTTTTTCCATATGCCTGTCTCATATTTTTTGCTTTCACTCCTGCTTTAGGCTTCACGTTGGCTTGAAAGCTTATCAGGAGTTGTTGCGAACCCTCGCCGCCATGGATAGCAGCCCTGAACAAGCTGTCCGAGAAGCAGCCAAAGTTCTGAAAGGCATGTGCTAAGATTATTCCATTTTTTTCGCTTTTCTTTTGAAAATATCTTCCTAAATTTCTCTGACTTCAACTTTTTTGCTGTCTTTTTGCTCATATACTTCTTTTTATTTTATTACTATACCACTCAGTTGTTTCAGCTGGTCGGCTTGGACTCTTGACTACTGTATGAATACTGCTTTAGGTAGATGTTGTATTTACATATCTTTCAAAAGTTTTTCAACAACAACAGCTGTTATGGGGTTTTACTTGGCTTTAAATTGTGCAAAGTGTAATGCGACGAAAAGCAGTGGTGGAAATTTAAATCAGTGTTCGCATGCACTAGGACAAGGTAGCATGTTATTCATTGAGGGTAATTGAAATGGGCTGTGCAAGTCAAAAGGCTGCACTTGTAATAGCTGCTTTGTACATTTGAACAAGTTGACTGCTAAGTTGGGAGGTTACGTTGCTTCTGACCAGGTTTTGTAAAAATGCTTTTCTCTACACTACTCATTGCTTATATATATGACTGTAAGCTTTTGTTTCTTGTCATGACACATATCTCGCTATACCTTGGAACCCCTTTAGAATTATGAAAAGGTGAATTTTAATTTCCTGCAAAATTGTTAGATGCACTGCTGCCCTTAAGCTTCACACTCTGTCCACCACATCGAAATTTTGAGCCTTCTTTATAGCATAGTAACTGGCGACATAGTATTGTTTTTGTACTCTCAGAAAAGTGGTTGTGGGAACATGGGATACAGTGGAATCTGGTTGATACGATTCTGCATAATGTATTTTTCGACCAAATGCATTTTTTTTGACTGACGTTAATCCCAGGGTTCACACAATGTTTGCATAACACGTTTCGTTTTCCGTTTCGCACGAAAAATTTATCGATATTTCAGCTGTATTAATTAAACGGGCCAGACTTTCAACTTTTTCTTTTGCTCTGCTACCAAGCAAGTCAAGTGTTGTGCTGCTGCAGTGGAGCCGTAACAAAAACAAACACTTGGCTTGTAACTTGTCTTCTTACCTTTGTTGTGTTGCAGTTCTGCATTGAGAGATTGATTAAGAGAATAACCACAGTGTTGTTGTAGCTGTAGTGATACATTCTGTAAGCTTGTGGAGCAAATTACAAAAAAGTCGAATATTTAAGGCCACAGTCTTAAATGCCCGATGGTTGCAGAACTACTAATTATAGTACCTTCTTACTGCATTCCTGGCTCTTGGTCTAAATCGGAGATCGAGATGGTAATCATGTGATAAGTAACGGCTATAGGTGTTCAGTATGTTCACTTGCACTTCCTTATATTATTGCACAAGTTAGTTCTAGTTAAATTTGAAAACTGTGGAATGATGGCAAAAGACACTGACTGCACAAAAAAAAAAGAGAAGCACTATCGAAAGACTTGTCTTGTGTTCACATTCATGTTGTTTTTTATCACTGTTCTAACTTGTTCAAGGGTGCAGGAGGGCTAAGATGGTGTAGCAGTTTTATGTAAAGTGGCTAGCTTTGTCTTCACTTTGAGACAATTGGTTTTTAATAAAAAAACAAAAACAAATATTGATTGCACTTTTTACCTTTTCTAGGAACAATCTTCTACCTTCCAGAGTATAGAGAAATCGTCCTGCACCTTCTATTGAACTTTAATGAGTGCGTACAACCAATGTAAGTATGTATAGTCAGTCTTTGAGTTGATACTAAAGTATTGCAGTCCTAATATTAAGTGGAACCTCGTTGATATGATTCTGCATAATATACATTTTGGCCTAATACATTTTCTTGTGGCTCCCGCTCTGTGTTACTCCTTTCGAACCTGTTCTGTTGGAATGGAGTATTTTTCGGCCTAATAGATTTTCTTTGTTTTGGCCAATGTTACTCCCAAGGAACCTCTTTGGTTCCCGCCTATGTTAGTCCTCTTCAACCTCTTCGGCTAACACGATATTTGCATTATACATCCTATTTCCCAATTCCGCTGAAAAACGTATCCGCAAGATTCCACTGTATTGCCAGGCATGGAAAAGTGTTAAAATCTTGCTACTTATGTCCTTTCTGAGTACTTACAGAGCTGTGTAAAAATAACACAAGTTTATGCTTCACTGCAGTTACATTAGTGCCATAAAAGTAAGAGAAAGTGCCCTAATGTTGTTTCGATTTGAGTTTAGCCTTTGCTGACATGCAACTAAATGCTGTAGAAGTTACACCAATTTTTGCTTAACTATAGAGATTATGGGTATCGTAGGATCGGTTTATGAAGCGCCTAAATGCATACCTTGCATGCAATGGTATATTGATAAATTCGCTATGTTTACAATTTACCTAATGAAGATAATTTGCTTTGTTTTATTGATTGCCAGATAACAGGAATCAAGTGTTAACCTACTTGGTGTGGTTAACCCAGCTGTAATCAATTCAGCTTAGGCTATTTTAAAAATACTATTAATTCGCTCACAGACAGTATACAGGGGGCATCTGAAAAGTAATGTTGGTACATTAATTGAAAAGTTAGTGATCAGATTCAATACAACACATTGAAAGGTTTTGACATAGTCTATTACTGCGTCGACACATCGCTTCCAGCTAGATTTTCAGGTATCGCTGGCGTCACGGTCGGCCTCTTCCAGATTGTCTTTTAGAGCCTTGCTGCCAGCCTCTTTGGCTCTGTCACGAGATGATGTCTTTTCGTGGGATCTTTGACACTATGAAACAAACCATCACCATAGGCCACCCTTACTATAGGAAATGTTTACATCGCGAAATCGCAGAGTTCCACACTAAATATAGTGCAGATCCTTTCAGTTTTGTCAAACAAGGCCTACGTAACGCCTTGAACGGCAAATAAAAATGAGTTTCTCTGAAAAGCCTGTCTTTGCTCTTCAGATGGTCATAGGGGATGGAGCGAACTGCGTGTGCATAACTGAAGTTCACCATTCACCAATTCCAACTGACCCTTGTGTGCTGCAATGTAAAATCACTTTAAAAAGTTAAAATATAAACACTGAGATTATTTTTCAGACAAACCTTCTAGTCAACTCTTGTTATAGAGAACCTCGGATTAACGAATTTTTTGAAAATCTCCGCCCAAATGTCTACTGATTTAATGTAAAAATATTTCATTACTACGAATTTCAGAATATTGAATGACTCAGAATAACGAAGTGAATTTTATCCCCGTTAAATCTCCACAACGCTTCAAAATAACAAATAGCGACTCTAAAAGGCTACTCGCAGCTGTAAAAATAATACCCAGCTCCATAGGTGCCACTATTATCATCATCAGAACGCCCGCACATACCTCTTATCTGCCCACCCGTGTGACTGCCTTATTGTTCGACCAAATGTGCGGCTGCCTTATCGGCATCACCATCGCCTGGTACTTGTTTTTCGCGTCAGGCCTTGTCCTATAACCTTTGTTTTCGTCAGACAGCTTGACCTGCGTGCTTGTTACACGGCTGTTTTCTATCGTTTTGGTTGGCGGTTGAACTTTCAAGATGAGCTCTCGAAGCAGCACGAAAGGAATGCTATGACAGAGAAAAATGCGGTGGGAATGACCTTTGGGATGAAGTTGCCGATGATTACCCGTGCATGGTTTACTAAGGCTCAAGCAATATGCATAGTGCGACGACAAAGCATACTCGTGAACTTAGCTGACGACTGATAACATCCATATCATTTGCCGTCATGAAGAAACAGTGACGAGAGCGGAGACGTCTTGTCACTGTGAGCGGAGGTGTCTCTTATAAGCAGGTTACCACACATGAGTTTTATCAACCCCTATTTTTATGTAGGCACACTAGTATCTTTCATATCAAATTGTCTGTTACATCATGTCTCTTATTAAAGGGTTTGGCTGTTCTGTTACCCAGTACTTATGATGTTCATCATACTTGTGTGGAGCAGTGGTACGTCAAACAACAAAAATCGTTAATGCTTCAGTCCAAATGAGTGTCCACATACTAGTTATAAATACAGTAGACTCTCAGTAAATGAAAATCTGTTAAGTGGAACTCCTAGTTAAATTGAATAATTGCCTCTACTATGTTTAGTTTCGAGCCTGTATTCTGCACCCATGTTCATCTCCTAGTAAACAGAACTCTTGTTAAATGGAGCATATTCTCCCAGTTCCTTCTATTTTCGTTTACCGAGAGTCTGCTGTAGTAAAGATTAGTACTGTGAATCCCCGTAATTATCTTTGGACGATTGTGCCTTTCTATAATTGAAACGTTGTTATTAGTAAAAAGGCTGCTTGGCTAGTTGCTAGACGTTTATAGCTGAAAACTGAACGCATAGACAAGACAGGACAAATGAGCACTTGTCTACTTTTTCGTGTCCCATTGCATTTTTGTGCTCGGTTTTTAGGCAGAGGTATGTAGTGTTGAGTGGAAAAGAAACACCAACATCAATTTGTGATGTATGGCACTCCTGTGATAGCAATAACATCATACTATTTAAAAGGAAAATACACAAATAAAAACATTTCTTCTATTCATTTATGAGCAAGCAGTAATGTTGTATCAGCTGAATTAAAAGGAAACTCGCACATAGAAACTTTTTCTACTCATTTTTGAGCGTATAGTAATGGTGTGCGTATAAGGTGTGCCTGCTTTGATGTTCTCATATGCATTCTGTAGGTTGCAAGCCCCGGCTGTAATGACAAGCTTTGTAGCAGTCCTTGAAACCCCTGAAAACCCTTGAATTTCGAAATGGCATTTTCAAGGCCTTTGAAAGTGCTTAAATTTGTTTGAGGTCCTTAAAGGTTCTTAAATTTTGTTAATTGAAGCCATAATTTAGTGGATTTTTTGCTTGCCTGGCAACTGTGTGCTCTCAAGCCAACAAACCATTCCAATCCAATCTGTTTCTTCAGCCATAGTGCAGTGTTGTAGTACAGTGTACTCTTCAAGTACACTGTAGTTGTGGTAGCGCTTGCCTGGTTACAGCAGCAATGGAGCTAAGCCTGGCTTTTTTGTGGAAACGTAAAGTGTGCGCGGATATCCGCAGTCCTGTTGCTTACGGTGGAACTATGCCGGGCAAGTGCGAATTCCAGCCATCTTTGTCATGCACTGCTGCTTATAGGGAGTAGACTGCACAAGATACCTTAAACCCATATTAGGCATAGTCTTCCCATGTAGGAAGAGCTTTGACATGTCATCAAAGGGGAATCTGTTCTTAAAAGTCACATGAAGAGTACGAAACACATTGAGAACGCAAAAGTGACTACAGTCCATGGTAACTTGAGTACGTTCATGGTGCCAACCATACAAATAAAATGACGTACAAATTTTTATGCTCTAAAAAGTGGTATTGTCATTTTCTGTGGTTTCAAATGTTATTTTAGGTCCTTGAAAAGTATTTGTTAGGTTCTTAAAAGTCCTTGGAAAACCCTTGAATTTTGTTTCGCTTAGGTGCTATGAACTCTGAATGAATTGTGGTCAGAAAAATTTGCTTCATTTTTGGATATTGCTGATACTTATTCATTCTCTTGTACATCAACTCAGCTCCTATCTTCGGGACTTGGTGGAAATGGTTCACGTCTATGTCAAGATGCTTCAACACTTTGCCCAAGCTCACAGACACATTATAGTGAAAGGGAAGGCCAAGGCAAGAAAGAAGGCAAAAAAGCAGGCGGTGAAGGAAAATAATGCAAGTAAGTGGCAGAGCTGTGACATGTGTAAACTTAAGTGGCATTGTTTTGACAACGCTTGACCACTAGGAAAGGCCGTAAGATTCCTTCATCTGCTGTTCAAGCTGTCTGCGTACACGAATTTGGTTATTTATACACAACTTGTATAAAATGTGGTTTTTTGTTTTTAGGCACGGCTGTTAGTGAAGAAGCACGGCAACAGGAATGGCTTGAAGTGTCATCTGGAATATCCTTGGCTCTTCAAGGCGAAGAGGAGCTGCCTGACGACGTCGTTCCATACGACTCGACATTGGACAACACTGAAAATGAACAAAAGTAAGCATTATGCATGCACTTGCTTCGTATTTCATATCTCTGTAGAAGACTCATTATCACGGCCTTGGTGATCTCTGGCCATATTTGGTCCTTTCGCCGGTAAGCACTATAAATTAGGCTTGTGCATATACAGTGCAGTCCACTTATAACGATACCACATATAACGATATATCGGTTATAACGATGGGTCGACCTAACAGTCTCATTTTATGCATTGGGGCTATGGGGAAAAAAACCATATATAACGATATGTTATCCACCGCATATCGGATACAACGATGAAAAGTTTGCCGTGGACGGCATGTTTCATTCAGAATAATCGTAACATTTAGATTGATAAGTTCCTCTGAAACGAACTATGCCGAGACAAGACGAAAAGTTAGCGTAGGCGAGTACCTGCCGCCACTGCAGCACAGCGCCGGCAGCGCGTCCCAGCCGTGCAAAAAGCCGAGGAGAGCGTCGCGAGTTGGCGCGACGCGCTACAGATGGCGCCAGCTGTGTCACGTTTTGCGCCTCGCCGCGCGTCGACTGCGGAGAGGCTGAGAGAATTAAAAAAAAAAAAAATTGCGAAAAGCAAAGCGCCGCGCTCCGCGGCTCCCCGCCTTCTACAACGGCAAGCCGGCAAGCTACTCGTAGCTTGCCGAACCAAAGCGATAAGAGAGAGAAAATAAAAAAAGCGAAAAGCAAAGCGGCGCGGCGGCATCGGGGCGGGGCCTCGTTGGCATTCCGGCTGTGTACCTCTGGCTGTGCTTTCTTCCTCCCACTGCTCCCACCCCGCCGTCGGTCAGTCTCTCTTCCTCAGCGAACCCGTCATGCGTTCTTCGGAGTAAGAAATAAAGTCTTGTTTTTGACATCCTACTATCTACAATATTTATTAATTGGTGAAAATAGCGAAATGAAGCCTGGAGCTACAAAAGGTACGTCCGGCGACGATTTTTGGCGGCAGTCCAGATATAACGATCACCGGTTATAACGATCATATTTTTAGGTTTTCTCGATATCGTTATAAGTGGACTGCACTGTACCTCCCATGAACACAGCAATTAACTCTTGGACCTCAGTTCCCAACAGGTGTGAAGCGACTGCCCAAGGCGACAGTCAGACCTGGAACGCGGCATAGGGTGCTAAGAGTCCCTGGGTACGGACAGGCCGCCATTGGAATCTGAACATGGCTTCCTTCAACACTAGAACTCTATCTAGTAAGGCTAGTTTAGGTGTGCTTCGAGGAATAAGAGGGTATTAAATGGGATCAAATAGGGCTCAGCGAAGTAGGGAGGACACATAAGGCCTATACAGTGCTGAAGAATGGACACGTTCTATGCTACCGTGGATTAGTTGACAGAAAAGAACTAGGGGTGGGGTTTCTCATACACAAGAACATCGCTGGCAACACAGAGGAATACTCTAGCATCAGTGAGAGGGTGACAAGTGTCATAATTTAGTTTAACAAAAGGTACAAGATGAAGGTGGTACAGGCCTATGCGCCTACATCGAGCCATGATGGTCATTTGGTTGAGCGCTTTTATGAAGACGTAGAGTCAGCCATTAATGAAGCAAAAACACAGTATACTCTTCTTATGGGTGACTTTAATGCCAAAGTAGGCAAGAAAGAGGCCGGAGACCATGCAGTGGGGGAATATGGCATCGGCTGTAGAAATGCCAGAGGGGAGTTATTAGTAGAGTTTGCAGAACGCAATAATTTATGGTTTATGAATACCTTCTTCAGAAAACGGGCTAACCCTAAGTGGATGTGGCGAAGTCCTAATGGTGAAACTAAAAATGAAAGTCACTTCATTCTGTGTGTACACTCAGACATTGTACAATATGTATGAGTAGTTGGCAAGATTAGATGCAGTGACCCTAGATTGGTAAGAGCTGGTATTCACCTAGATTCGCAAAAGAAAAGACAAAAACTGATATGCAAGAAGCCATATAATGAACTGGCGGTGATAGGAAAAATACAGGAATTCAAAGTTTTGCTTCAGAATAGATTCAAGGCACTAAATAAGATAACTGGCATTAGCGTTGACACAATGAACTATAATCTTACTAGTACCATCAAAGAGTGTGCAATTTAAGTTGGAGGTTCAATCACTAGACGGGAAACTGGCAAACAGTCTCAGGAGACAAAAAATGTTATAATTGACAACAAACGATAAAAGCCTCAAATGCAACCGACAAAATAGAGCTAGTGGAGCTTTCAAAGTTGATCAATAGGCGTAAAGTAGCTGAAATCAGGAAGTATGACAAAAGAATTCAGCAGGCTGTAAAAAGCGACAGAAGCCTAAAAGCTGTGAAGGCAGACTTCTGTATAGGCAAAAATCGGATGTATGCATTGAGAAACAAGGAAGGCAATGTCATAACCAATATGGATAGGGTAGTCAATATGGCAGAGGAGCTCTACAGAGAGCTGTACAGAAGTCAAAAAGAACCAGGATGGTATTGTGAGAAACTATAATAGTCTAAGAGAATTCAACATTTTACCAGTAACGACAGGAGAAGTAAGGAAAGCCCTCGAAGGAATGCAAAGTTGCAAAGCCGCTGGCGAGGATAAAGTAACAACGAACCTCCTGAAAGATGGCGAAGAAATTGTGTTAGAAAAATTAGCCACCTTATATACAAAGTGTCTCTTGACGGAAAGGGTATCAGAATCTTGCAAGAATGCCAACATCATCTTAATTCATGAGAAAAGAGATGTTAAGGACTTGAAAAATTACTGGCCGATCAGCTAACTCTCTTTTCTCTATAAACTATTTACAAAAATAATAGCTAATAGAATTAAAAAGATATTGTAGTTTAATCAGCGAAAGAACCAAGCAGGATTTCGTACCGGCTACTCCACAATAGACCATATTTGTACTATCAATCAGGTAATAGAGAAATGCGGTGAATACAACCAACCCCTATGCATAGCTTTTATAGAATACGAGAAGGCGTTTGACTCATTTGAGACATCAGCAGTAATGCAGGCCCTACGGTATTAGGGCATTGAAGAACCCTACATAAGCGTACTGGAAGAAATCTACAGAGGATCCACAGCCACCATAGTTCTCCATAAAGAAAGCGAAATAATCCCAATAATGAAGGGCGTCAGGCAGGGAGACACTATCTCTCCAATGCTATTCACCGCGTGTTTACAGGAGGTATTCAGGACCCTAGACTAAAAGAGTTAGGGATAAGAGTTAATGGACAGCACCTTAGTAACTTGCGATTCGCTGATGAAATTGCCTTGATGAGTAACTCAGGCGATGAATTACAGTTCATGATTACTGAACTGGACTCGGAAAGCAGAAAAGTAGGTCTGAAAATTAATATGCACAAAACTAAAGTAATGTGCAACAATCTTAAAAGAAAACAGCACTTTGTGATACGTGGAGAGGCGCTGAAAGTTGTTAAGGAATATGTCTACTTAAGACAGGTAATAACCGCAGAGCCGAAACACGAGATTGAAGGAACTAGAAGAATAAGAATGGGGTGGAGCACATTTGGCAAGAACTCTCAAATCATGGCTGGTAGATTGCCACTATCCCTCAAAAGGAAGATATATAACAGTTGCATCTTGCCAGTACTTACCTACGGAGCAGAAACCTGGAGGCTTACAAAGAGAGTTCAGCTTAAATTAAGGACGATGCAGCAAGCGATGGGAAGGAAAATGAAAGGTGTGACCTTAAGAGGCAAGAAGAGAGCAGTGGGTCAGGGAACAAACCGGGGTTAAAAATATCATAGCTGAAATAAAAAAAAAGAAATGGACATGGGCCGGACATGTAGGACGTAGACAGGGTAACCGGTGGTCGTTAAGGGTAACTGGCTGGATTCCTAGAGAAGGCAAATGCATGAAGGGGAGACAGAGTTAGGTGGGCCGATGAGATTAAAAAGTTTACAGGTGTTACGTGGCAGTGGAAAGCACAAGACCGGGTTGATTGGCGGATCATGTGAGAGACCTTTGCCCTTCAGTGGGTGTAGTCAGGCTGATGATGATGATGATGATGATGATGATGATGATGTATTTGAATGCTCTGAATATTACAGTATTCGATTTCGTTTCAAATCCAATGATAAATTTTGAAAGTTTTGAAGTATTAAAAATGAACGAATAAATGTATATTATACTTTGTTTCATATATCAGGTGCAACACTGTTGATGCTATGCAAGAAGTTTGGTCAGCAATATGTGTGTCTATGCGTGTCTCGCACTTGGCTTTCGTTGTTGTGAACGCTCGTGCGAGACGAGCACAACACGCACGCACAGCGTCGCGAAATGCTACAAATAAAACATCAAGGAATGAGAAGAAAGAAAGGGCAAGTGTCAGAACTACTTATAGACAGTCGTATGACGGGGCGCCATCTCCGATGCAAGAGGCATCTTCATTTATCACTGAGCTCAAGGAGGAAAAGAAATCATGTCTGAGATGGAAAATTTATTGTACCATTTCTTCAAGTGAATGTATTCATTGCAAGAAGTCTCACTAGCTGCCACAATGTTGCACCTGATGTATGAGTACACTCAAACATTATTACATATAACAAATTTTAATCTTACACGAAAATAGGTTTGTTATACCGAAAGATTTGTTATAAAGGTTTACTTATAACACTTCATTTATTGCAAGACTATTTTTCATTTACTTTGTGATAACTGATATTTTGTTATATCCAATTTCGTTACGTCGAGGTACAGTGCGTACATTATTTGCACGTAAAAAAAATTGTAAAGGTGGTTTCACTGTAGTGTATGAGTGCTATGCCGTGAAGGCACCTATTCAATCCGTATGTAATCTTTTGTAAAAGTAATTTCACTGCGTTTAAAGTATGCTAAGCCATGAAAACATGTATCCGGGGTAAATCCACACTGGCGGGAAGCTCCTTCAATGTTTAATGAACTCTTGCATCAAATGATCATTTAATATGTTTAAAAGCTTGTTATGCTAGCTTATACTCTCAAAAAATTTTAAATTGTAACATGTTTTTCAGGCTATCATTTGCCTTCTACAGAAAGCCAATTTTTGCTACTGTTTAAACTTGTATACACTTCCTTTAAACTAAGAGGAATCACATTTGCACAGGCCTTGTTCCGATTAAAAAAAAATTTTGTACAGGTTAGTTGCATCATGAGAAATGTGTTCGTTTTCTTTAGTATGTCATATATACTATTTGAATTCTCGTCAGAGTTGCTATTCGCATTGAATTTGCTTCACACTTGAAATTCACTATTCGTACAAGCCTATTATAAATAATGAATCGTAACTAGCATCATATATGGCTGTTGTTCTTATTTCATAACAGCTTTCACTGCAAAAATTTTTCAGGTCTTCTTCTTCTGCTTCTTAGCTTATTTTATGCCATGCCGCTCTTGCACCGTTCTTCTTCAATGAATATATCGTTTCCCAGTACCTTCACTTCACTTGTCTCTTATTTTAAATATAGAAAGAAAGCTTGTTTTTTGGATTTCGATGGACCAGGAAAGATGTCCAGATTAAGCGAATACCGAATTATCGAAAGCATTGAGAAAACAATGAACAAGTGTGTGTTTTGGCGAATTTCAGTGGTAGATGCGGAGCAGCCGATGAAATTCTAGAGTGAGCACTTTGATTGCTCCAGGCCAAATCTGCCAGTGAAACATGTGAATGCTCCACGCAATATCGCTGAAGAAGCTGTTCATGCATACATCTTGTAGACCAGTTCCGGAAACTACTACTGCTTCTGCTCTGTGCGTTTTTATGGGTCGCCGCAGCAAAACACATATTTCGACCACGCAGTGGCGTAAAACAGGTGTGTCGTTTTTCTTGTGTTGCGGTGACAAATATGGATGAGTGCATGAAAATTTCTTTTTTGATGTAGCCGATAATTTTCATGTGTCTGCACAGCGGGTCAGGGAACGTTTCCTTAACATCATTTCGTAGAGCATGCACAGTTCGTCATCATCGTTGATGCTACTAATGTCAGAACTCTCGCTATTGCTCAGAGCAAGAAGCAAGTGAGCAGCTCACCCTCCAGGGTGAAACGACACCATTTTAAGAAAGTAAACAGGTGCACAATGTGATCAGACACAGCTTCGAAAAATGCTGAAGGCAGCCAGGGTGCTGGACTGTGCTGGAAATGATGGCACTGCATTGCCAGAGTTCCGGCGAAATCTGTCTCTGCAAACCAGAGCAATGTGAAATGCTTCATCAAAAAATGGGTTGCTCTGAATCTGCCAGTCCAAACGCTTGCTCCGAATTGACCTGTGGAGTTTGACCGTGTAAAAAGTTGATTACAGTTTGCTTTTCAGTAATGAGCAATTCTTTTAAGACTTGTATTCATTTGTAGTTTTAACCAGCTGGTTTTCTCACTCTGTTGTTGCAGGCTGGATGCCTTAGGCCGCATCCAAGCTGCACTTAAGGCCCGAGAAACAGCCAAGGCAGTGGCGTTGTTGCGAGCAGGCCAAGAGCTGTGGCCAGGCCAGAGCATGTTTGGATCTCAAGAGGAAGAGACCGAGTTTCAAGCCCTCAAAGAGATCTTCTTTGCCAACTTTGCAGGTGAGACTAGATTTACTCCAATGACAACTGCATGTCTCAAAACCAGAGATGTGTGAAAAGCCAAATTATGGGTGCAAAGGGAATTTCGGATGCAGATTTAGATGAAATTCTTGGTGCAAATTGAATTCAATATTCAGCACATTCTTATAAAATGAGAACATGAAAGTGTTTTTAATTTTTTGTTAGGTTGCTGTCGCAAAGAGGTGATGCACAATGGCGTGCCTGAGTTGCACTATGAGAAACAAGGAAATGTGGAGGCTAGGTTTGCGTTTATTCACATAATTTGGTACAGTATGACCGAAAGGGGTATCAACAACACTTTACATGTGCTCTTCCATTTTATGGTTGAGGTAGAAATCACAATGTTGACAACTCTTCTGCCAATATCGATGCTAAGTCTACAACCTGGGTATTGTACTCTCAGCAGCTATGGGTTGCGAAACCGCTATTGATGGTGCCTTCACGGAAGTTGAAGGACAACTGATGCGGTGCACAACGGTGTGATTCCTCTGAGTCGTGGGGTTTCTTTCACAGGGATTCCCTACTCCTACTTTGCTTCTGCTTATGGTTTTTGTGGCAGTTGTCATCGGTGTTAGTAACAGTGGGAGATAAACTGCAACACTAATACGGAAAAGTTGGCTAGTTGGTTTGGCTGCATAACGAAAATTCGCTACGCCGCTCACCATCCGCTGCTCGCTGTCAATCTCGTTCGCCCCCGCAACGCCGTCCTACCTCTCCGACCTATTCGCAGCGCCCCCGACCAGAAAACTAGGCAGTGCAATTTCTGGAGGTGGAGCTGCATTAACGACGATCGCTGCAAGAAATCCTTGTGTAACATTACCGACCACCCGGAATATATTGAACGTTACTTTAGACAACATACCTGTGCGTGCGTTGATCGATACGGGCATGCATGTGTCCATCATGAGTGCTGATCTTCGTCGCCGACGGGGGAACTGCCACCATTATTGGCATGTGCTCTGCCAGTGTGACTATTGCTGATAGAAGCACTGCTGTTCTTTTCACCGTTATCGAAAATTGCCCTCATGATCTAATTCTAGGTATGGGCTTTCTAACCTCTCACTCTGCCCTTATAGGCTGTTCAGCTGGCTGTCTCGACCTTGAGATGCCTCTACTTTCCGATCCGACCAACCCACCCCAAAGCCGTCTTTGCTGCATCGATTTCGTATGCCTTCCACCTAACTGTGTTACACACATTGACCTCTCCTCTACGCTACCTGTACTTGACGGCAATTACATGGTTGCACCAATTCATGCCGTGATGCTTACGCATGGCGTCGCTGTTCCGCACACGATTTTGACAATTGTTGGAAACCACACATGCCTTCCTATTGTCAATTTTGTGGCCTGAAGACGCACCAGTCTTCAGGCCACAAAATGCTCACTTCTCCTTGAGTGCACTTTCGAGAAGCCTTTTCTTTTCATCGGTCACGAATGCAGGATTCGTCGACATCGTGCCTCCTTGCAGCAGCTCTGTTGCCGATTTATTTGGCAGCAGCTATAATCTTGAGTTTTCTTTCGTGGTCAAAGATTGTCGCCGAGACCCACTCATGGTGCCTGACCAGACAAAGCTGACCAACGGTGTAAACTGGCTACACCCGACTCGAAAAAAGGCGCTGTCAAATGGCTGTTGTGACGCTGTTGACCAATTCAAACAAAGCACGTAAAAAGTGAATAAACACGCTACGGAGGTGATCTGTCTATGGCTTTTGTTGTCTTTTATTGGCTTTGCACCAGACGATGTCGATGGAGATGTGGACTGCAGGAGAGGCGATGCATTGCCATGAAGCCGACCTCTGCTTTCGGAATATTCGCAGATAACCCGCATCCCCACTTTTCAGGCAATCTTTTTCAATTTTTCGTGCGGATAATATGCAAGAAAGCACGGTATCTACATCCAGGTAATTCAGCCTCTTACCTCGGAATGAATTTTTCCACATTTTTTTTTTGTCCCTTCTTTATACTTTTCCATCACTAATCCTCTAACTAGCGCTATCTTTACAAAAAACAGCAGAATTGCCTGTATTATCTTATCAGTATCTAACAGTAACTTCACAATTATCCATTGGTTCGTAGTGCTTCTGGTAAGGTTAATGTTTGCGATGCTGAATGGAAGCTCTCTTTGTTTTTATTCTTAAGTAGGGTCTATAGTTAGGCGAAATTTGGAAGGCATTGATATTCCACCTCAGAGGTGGATGAACGCAAGAATGCACAAATCAACGAATGCTGTAGGCTGATGTCATAAGCTGCACGGACCATGACGTCACCATTACAGTGCAGTCCACTTATAACGATATCGAGAAAACCTAAAAATATGATCGTTATAACCGGTGATCGTTATATCTGGACTGCCGCCAAAAAATCGTCGCCGGACGTACCTTTTGTAGCTCCAGGCTTCATTTCGCTATTTTCACCAATTAATAAATATTGTAGATAGTAGGATGTCAAAAACAAGACTTTATTTCTTACTCCGAAGAACGCATCACGGGTTCGCTGAGGAACAGAGACTGACCGACGGCGGGGTGGGAGCAGTGGGAGGAAGAAAGCACAGCCAGAGGTACACAGCCGGAATGCCAACGAGGCCCCGCCCCGATGCCGCCGCGCCGCTTTGCTTTTCGCTTTTTTTATTTTCTCTCTCTTTCCCGCTTTCGTTCGGCAAGCTACGAGTAGCTTGCCGGCTTGCCGTTGTAGAAGGCGGGGAGCCGCGGAGCGCGGCGCTTTGCTTTTCGCTTTTTTTTTTTTAAATTCTCTCGGCCTCTCCGCGGTCGACGCGCGGCGAGGCGCCAAACGTGACACAGCGGGCGCCAACTGTAGCGCGTCGCGCCAACTCGTGATGCTCTCCTCGGCTTTTTGAACGGCCGGGACGCGCACCGGCGCAGTGCTGCAGTGGCGGCAGATACGTACTCGCCTACGCTAACTTTTCGTCTTGTCTCGGCATAGTTCGTTTCAGAGGAACTTATCAATCTAAATGTTACGATTATTCTGAATGAAACATGCCGTCCACGGCAAACTTTTCATCGTTGTATCCGATATGCGGTGGATAACATATCGTTATATATGGTTTTTTCCCCATAGCCCCAATGCATAAAATGAGACTGTTAAGTCGACCCATCGTTATAACCGATATATCGTTATATGTGGTATCGTTATAAGTGGACTGCACTGTACATGACATTATGTTGCAGTTGACAACATGGTATGAGTGCGGGAGAACTTCGTTAAGTACATGAGCAGACTACTAAGCACTCGCGGGCATGGGGAAGCTGCCACATGCCCGCGTGTGCTTTCATGATTACGTGGGAAGTAAGCTGTGCTTGAAGTCATGATGCACATGGACGTGACTTCTTTCTCCTCTGTCAGCCTTCTCAGGTTAGCCTCTTGTGTGCTCATTGGGAAAGCAATTACAGCTTGCAATGAATCTTATGTAACTTCACTTGTTTTTGGTGGATTTTAAAAACTTTATTGGGGGGTTGATTAGTCAGGCAATAAAGTTCGTTCATGAAGCTATTCAATGGTTACCTGGAAAAGTACTGCAGGGTCCTATTGTATTCGATAATTCAACACAAAGCCAATTCACACCTACCTGTCATAGAAATTCTCTTCCATCTTCTGTCCAGCGATTGTCGATTCCTCGATACACCGTCGTGTACCAAAAGCGCCATGTTTCTGGTGAATTTTTTATTTTAATGTGTGTCCATGTAGAGAGGCCATCATTTAACTGCATTTCCACTAGAGCTGGCACAATTTTGTTTGCTACTTCCCATTAATATTTTAGGTGTGAAGCTACAGCTCATGCAACAAAGTTTGATTGATATGTGGGGTTTAACATCCCAAAACCACTTTATGAATATGAGAGACCCCGTAGTTGAGGACCTCTGGAAATTTTGATCACTTGGAGTTCTTTAATGTGCATCCAAATCTGAGCACACGAGCCTACAACATTTCCGCCTCCATCGGAAATGCAGCAGCCGCAGCCGGTATTCGATCCCACGACCTGCGGGTCAGTAGCCGAGTACCTTAGCCACTAGACCACCGCGGCAGGGCCATGCAACAAAGTTTATAATGTGTGATAGGAGCTCCTAAAGTTTTGTTTATACATATGGATCAGTTTGTCGTCAGGGTTGTGCACTGTATAACTCACAATAGAACAACCTAAGTACATTCAGAAAAAAAGGGACATTTGAATTGGATATTATAAATACGGATTCGTTATCAATTCACTGTGAAAAAAGGCACTAGTGTAAAGGCGCAGTCTTCATCTGTGGGTGTGCACATCTGCTGCCAATGTTATGTTGTTTAGGTTTGTGCAATTGAATGTCATTTCTCAAACTTGTTCACACTTTGGTTCAGCCGTATTATGGCATTAATACGCTTCGTATGAGTGACGGTTTATCATAGCGTACACGAAGTCGGGAAATTTTCGCATGGTCTTCATTTGTCGACTGCTGCTCTCTATGCACATTGCATCCAAGAAGTGGAATCTAACAGCAGGCTACGGTTCCACAGTTATTGGAATTGGTAGTAAAGCAGCGGTCAGCTATTCATTTTATAGGCTGGCCTCCTTTACTGTACAGTTCACTTCATGTAGAGATGTTTGTGGCAGACCTGTTCAATGTGTGGATTACTAGAGTTTGTGTAACTTCACGGAGAAACATACAGTTGACTCTCGTTAATTCAAACTTGAAGTGATCTCTGAATCTAGTTTGAATTATTAAGAAGTTTGAATTAACAGAAGTTCTCAGATAGATGACTCTGGGTGAGCCGACACCGCACATTATGATTCGGCATTGATTTTATCACATGTAAAAATTTTTTATGTGTTCTTATTTCCTAATTGCACACAGTAAACACAAAGCAGAAGAGTAAAGCCCACAAGTTTATTGGCCATTTACTGCTGATCAGACTTTTCAAGGAAATCGTAAATTGCAAACGGCTTTATTGCTATAGGTATGTGCCTTCAGCACAAAGCTCTCTATACCAGTTGAGAAGCATCACGGCTTACCATGCGTGTGCTTTGTTTCAAACATTTGTTCACTTCGAAAGCCTTTTTTCTTGAAGGCTTCAGGGCTTATTTTTCATTTTTAGACTGTTAGGATTATATAAGCACACAAATGTTCAAATATTAATGGTAAAGCAGCAGATATTTTCTGTTGTAGACCTGCAAAAAGTATGAATTAAGCGAATGATAGAGTTTGAATTAAGGGGCCTTTAAATACATTGAAAGAATGGAGTGCCAACCAAAAGATTGAATTTTGTTTGAATTAACCCAAAGTATGAATTATCAGAGTTTGAATTATCGAGAGTCTACTGTACTAGACTTTTTAAGTTGTGTACCCTAATTCACATTGAGCTCTCAAACCTTACTTGCGGTAATTGTTGTGGCCCATTTTCGTGATGTGTCTATGTTTGATTCAATTAGATCATGTGAAATCAATACTAGCTTTTGCATCCTTTTCATGTCATTTTTAAAAAGCCTTCAGAGGCTGTACTTGCATTTCATTAATGTTAATTATAAGTAAGCATCTATTGCCATTCAACGCTAAGTTGATTCATCGGAAAAGGTAAAAAACTTGTTAAGAAGTGATGAATGGGTTAGATATGAATTTACAAATTAAGGGCATTTATAAATTTATAAATCAAGGTCCCTGGTTCGTTCCCAGGTTTCGGCACCAAATGTAACAAATAACTAGTCCGCAGACATTAGATGGAGACGACCCGTTCATTCAGCATGGAGCCAAAGCCGTCACCCCCTAGCGCGTGCCTATCTTCCTCTTCGTTTTCCCCATCCATTGAGCATGCTCCTCGATGCTCCGTTCCGGCGCCTTTTGCAACAGGGGTGTTGATATTGAAAGGGACACACTTGTTCGTTGACTTCTGTTTTTTTTTGATGAGTTTCAATAGCATCAAAGCTTTGAGTAGACACTTTATTCAACATGTATAAACATTCGCTGCATGATAGAAGGAAACGAGTAGACAGGAGCATTGTAATATACCATGCTGCCAAATAATTCTCTTCTTTTACAAAAATACATGCTTTGTGTTTATGTATCCTCACGCTCACACTCACTATAAGTCGAATTTCATAGCTCACTTCATGGAACCTTGTGAGTTTGTCTCCTGAAATTTTGGAATCATCAAGCTCTTTGCGCACGTCCATGCACACAAATTTTAAAAAGCTGGAGGCCCACTTTTAACAAGCACTGTTGTTCCTGTCATGGTCACACAGCCAGCTCGCCCTAACTGTGTCATGAAAGTTTTTTCAAAAACGTAGAAGGCCAGGCTGCCTGAGATACACTATATCTTTGGCACAGAATCTAAGCCTGCTTTTGCAAAGCACACATTTGGTGTATGTGGCCGTTGGTAGTCACAGTCTTTGCGTATCTACTTATGGTCACAAATACCATATCGCAGTAGACGTCCAAGTTTATATACACACGTGACCACTGCACCACTCACTGTCACTCAAGGAGCGAGGAATCAGTTCTTGTAAATGCGGTTCATTGGACACATCGTGAGGACCACCACTGTCGACTGCGAAGTAAAGCTTGTTTCGAATGCCGCGCTGCACGCTAGTCCTTGCATCAACCGTACCCTCTGACACAGTCAAGATGTTCACCTCGTCGTGCTGAGGACGGTAAGAGATGCTGCTGCTCCGCTGGATCCGGGCATACCGTTCACGGCAGCCCATGCAGTTGCGGCGTGCATGCAGTATAAACACTGTGGTTACGAGAGCAACGAAGAGCAAAAAGCTGCAGCCAGTAATGACTCTTGAAGTGACAGTGGAGTTTCCTTCAGAGCTTGGCTCTTGCTGTTGTTTTTCAGCCACTGGTGGTACAAGCAGTAAGCTTTGAGGCGCATTGAAGGACAAAGAAGTGTGGTTGTTTTGTGACAATGAGGGAGCTGGAACAGTTATTTCAGCTGTGGGGAGTTGCCAGATGTAGTGCAGCGTCGTCATCATGGTGTGCTCAGTGATCACTGTAGGAATAGTAACGTTACTTGAGCCGTCAGTAATGCTGCTGTCTGTTGCAAATGTTGCATTACTTTTGAGGTGAGCTACTAAGCTTCCATTGCTTGCTTTCTGGTCACCTGCCATTTGTGAAGTGATATTCAGAGCTTCTCGTGTCTGTGGGGCTTGAAACAAATCTTCAGCGTTCTCAAGAGCTGTGCCGCTGTCAGCTGGAAAAATGCTTGTCTGATTACTCGACGCAACTGTGTTTGTCTCAGCGGCTCTTAAACTTGTTCTTGTCGTGGAAATGCTTCTTAGTGTTAAAGGTGCAGTGGTGTTATCTGCTGTTGGTCTTTTAGTGATTTGTTCTGGGACGTTTGGCAGGGGAACTCTTTTGACCAAAGTAGCACCTCTGACTTGAGGCACTGGTGCGCGTTGTGTGGTGATCTCAAGAAAGTCTTCCTCCTTTAACAACATGACAGGCTTGAATTGCAGCGTGAATGGGGATGCACATCTTATGCTGTAGCTGCTGTAAAACTGGATGCTCGAGGTTTTTATCCATTCTGAGAACCACCGCACTTCAGGGCCACAGTGAAACGTGTTGCCTCCCACTTTGAGAACCTTCAGTTTGGGGAAGAAAGAAGGGAAATCTGGCCTCAAATGTGTGAGCTTATTGTGCATGATGTTCAGCTCCTGGACATTTCTTAAGCCATGCAGCGTTCTTGGTGACCTGATTATATCGGCCACTAGCTCGCTGCTGTCATACATTTCAAGCTTCGTTAGCATCTTCAGCGGATCAAAGACGTATTCTTGGAACTCCACTTTGTTGACTATTCGGGACATCTGCAGTGTTTGGAGTGCATCAAGTCCTTGAAAGCACTGGGGCTCCAGTAACTGTAGCAGATTTTGAGATATGTCGAGTGTCTGCACATTGCCAAGATTGCTGAAAACGTGGTTGGGCAGACATTGTATGAGGTTTGCCTGTAGGTCGAGGGTCTTCAGGTTTGCGAGATCACTCAGGGCACTCTCTGAAATGTTCCTGATTTGGTTTCGCTGCAAAAACAATTGCTCCAGTTTTGTCAGTCCAAGAAAGCTATTGGCTGGCAGCTCAGTTATCAAGTTCTCCTCTATGTACAGAGCAACTAGTGTTTGTGGCAGGTTCATTGGCACTCTTGTAAGCCTGTTGCCGTTTAGCCAAAGCCTGGTGAGGTACTCCTGTTGTCCAAGCGCGTCATCTTCCACGTCTTCGATGGCATTGTCATCAAGCACAAGTAAGCTGAGGTGTGGATAGCTGTCCAGGTCACCGAGAGTTATGTGAGTGATGTTGTTGCGGCTGAGCCTGAGGTCTCGAACATAGCGCGTGAGGCTTTGCGGTATGCGCTCAAGCCCGACCTGAGAAGCATCAATGTACTGCAGGTGCGAGCCAAAGAAATTGAGACGAGAGAGGCTTGTGAGTGGATTGTTGCTGAGAATGAGGTGTCCAAGATTTGGCAGGTTCTGGAAGGCACCCACTTCTACACTCGAGATGAGGTTCGAGTCGAGGTTCAGGTACTGGATCTGCTGTAGGCCCATGAATGTGTAGGTGTTTAGCTGTGTGAGCAGGTTGCTGTGAAGATTCAACTGCTCCAGGTTGCCCAGGCCCTTGCAAAAAAAAAAAAAAAGAGAGAATAAACACCATGAGAGCATAATTCAAAATGTGCATTTTGAATAAACCACTGGGAACATGTACAGTTTAGGATAGAGTTCCATGTACAGTGACAAGATCAATGTAACTTTAGAACCATTTGATGCAGCTCTTATCTGCCATAGGTACATACGTTAGAAAACTGTATGCATTTGAGCTATATCTCACTTTTAGTCTTGAAAAAAAAAACTTCCATTCTGTTGATTTCTTGGTATATTTAACAGGATATATTGTTTTTGTTGATGCTGATGTCCAAAGCTGAAAGCAAGTTATTTAATGAAGAATCTTGGTCCAATGTGCTAAGTCACTGTAGATTTTGTGCACAACCAATGTTTCCAACAGTGAAATGTTGTGGGGATTTATTGGGGAGTGGGAGACTGTCAGCATGTTATCATTTTTTGCGTTGCTAAACATACAAAAAAGAAGGAGGAGGAATGTACAGCAGTTTCCAGACAACTTGGGAAAAGAGAGGTGCTGTTGCTGCTATTTTGAAGTTCATCACGAAATGGTAATAGCATTTGGCCATTGTGGGCAGCACTTGGCTAGGATATGTATTAGTTTTAGCAGCCAGCTGATTACATTCGCTGATTAGAAATGTCACGATGGTGACTTGTGCTCTGGAAGCATGACGCATTTAATAAAGCTGGCAGACCAAAATCACTTGGTAAAATTTTCCTCACACCACAATTAAAGATGAATATGTATTTGGTTGTATTTGCTAATCGAATTTTCCTATGGTTGCAAGTAACTATTGCATGTACAAGAAGAACGAACAATGGGGCTTGGAGTTACAATGTTCAAAAGCGAGTCCGAATAAATGCTTCTTTTGTAATAACCTTGACATTATAAAACTACTTAATTCACTATTTCCAAGGCATATCATCAGTTATCTTTGAGGACACTTCTAATTAGAAAAACAACTTTTCATAATTCCTGCAAAATTGTCTTGAAGAAACTGCAGTCTAGGGCTCTGGTACTTACAGAAAAGGCACCATCAATGTGTGCCAGTTGGTTCGAGGACAGGTCAAGGTACTTGAGTTGCTGCAGTCCTTTGAACGTTCCCGATGTCAGATTCTCCAGCAAGTTTTGGCTCAGGTCAAGTCTTTGCAGCAGAGCCAGCTCAGCCAGGGCTCCATCTTCGATTCCCCTTGTTCTACTTTGCTGCAGCTTCAGTTCCTTGAGAGCTGGCACTTCGCTGAGTAGGTGCTGCACTAGCACATCTACGGCAAAGTTCCGTAGTTCGAGCCTCTCACTCGATCTGGGCAGGTCCTGCGGTGCTTGTGACACACTGTCCCCGACGCAGCTGACATACTGGCTTTCACTGTCACAGAAGCATGCACTTGGGCACTCTGCACTCGTTGCTTTGAGGAGGCAAGAGACAATGAGCAGGATGGCAATGCCTCTTTGCTTTCCATTTGTCTGATCAACTTGTATGAGTGGCATTCTTGCGAATGAACTTCTGTTGCTGCACCTAATTTTCTGGCCTTCTAGGGGACGTTATTGAACCAAGTATCGGACTCTTTTTGGGCTTTATTTTTGGTATTTCCACTTTTTTGCCTATCAGGACATCGTTTCATGGTGCATTGCCTTATGGAAGTGGGCCTGCATCTTCTTGCTTATCTAATAGTTCTGTGGCACTAAAGTGTGCAGGCTGGGTAACTTTATTCTTAACCTTATCGTTATGTCACACTTTGGCTTGACACGATGATGCTCTAGCAGGAAGTCATTGGACAAGGACTCAATGTAGACAAGCAGTTTGCCTGTCTTGCGTACTAGTATTGCCTGGCTAGGTATTGCCTTGGCATGTCGAAAGGGTCTTGACTTGGGCTTCTTTTTTTCCCTTTTAGTCCGTCGCCTCCGGAGCAAGGTGTAGCCACTTTGTGCCTTTACCGATGGCAGGAAGCACCAGGGAGCTGCAGTTAGCCTGAATGAAAAAAAGTGAAACAGTAATTGCAGGTTATTATATGGCTACAAAAACAAGGAAGGACCACTTAATTCAATTACCAAAACAGTACATAGGGAAGAACACTTGAAAATGCAGTACTGTTGTGGCTAGGCTCATCTGAAGATAGATGAAAAATTGCGTGCACTGACCACCAAGTCAGTGCACGCAACGCCAGTGCCATCATAATCATCATCACCAACCATTTTAAGTCCACCACAGGACAAAGGCCCCGCCCCTCCCAATTATCTACAGTATACCCTGTCCCGTTTGAGCTGATTTCATTTCATGCCGGCAAATTATTTATCTCATCTTTCCACCTAACCCTGCCATTTTGAGCTGTTTGCTGTCCCTTGATATCCATTACATCATTCTAATGGACCATCGGTAATCTGTCCTACTTGGCCTGCCAGTGTACAGCAGTTGGAAGACTCGTGATGTCGATATTGCCATTTGTTACTGTGTCATTAGAATATGAATGTAATCATATTATTATTGTATTATTATTATCATATATTATCATATTATTGTCATATAAGTATCATCATCATCAATAGACATCCTAAAGTCGGACACATCCTCTTGAAAGAAACTGAAATATCTGACTAGCTAAGATGCCGAGGTGGAATTTATTTTCACCTTTAGGCTTTCGTATTTCATGACTTACTAATACTTTTTCCTCTCTTAGCACATTCATTTTGCACATCTTGACTGTTTGTAACATGTAATGGGTACATGCCTGTGTAGCTTTGAATGCTTTTCCAGGGCCTAGGCTGTCCTATTTCACCATCCTGGATAATGAGCTGCAAGAACACAAAAAGTAGGAAAAGACACTTGTGACATCACATAGACATCCCTTTCGCACCTTTTGAATCTTACTACTTTTGTGTTTGTCAAGTGCTATAATTTCAGTATTATACAGGCCCAAAAACCAGTCATATATAGCAATGAATGAATATCCTGCAACACTTTTCATTTGAGCTTCTGCATACTCCAACAGTCCTCAACATTCAGACAATCAACCGTATCTGAAATGCATAAGCGTATCAGCTGGGGGGGGGGGGGGGGGGCAAGGGGAATGCGAGCTTCTTACTGGGAAAAGTTCGGGGGCCTGAGCTCCCCTTCCCTTGACTTGCGACAGTGGCCACTCTTGGCTGCACACTGGGGAAACCAACAAGTAAGGTGAAGTTGTCTTTCACAACAGTATTAACTCAATTATGTTCTTACAAAAGAATGAAAATTTACGAGGCAATGTTACAACATGGTGAACTTTTGCCAATATTTCCGTTGTGATAATTTTTCTTGTAGGTTCTTTGTGGTGCGGGTCTCCTATGCGGCGTTTTCGCGTCTTGCGCTATAGTATTACTGAGCAGGCAAGTGCTGAACAGGTGCTCTATAATATTACATCACTTGTTCATGCTTTTAATCTGCTGCGACTTGTTGATGCAGTTACAGATTGGAACGAGCAAACTTTTTATGGACCAGTCAAACCATTTGCAGCTTCCAGAAAATAATTTTCTTTAAAAAGGGTGTATCATCACCGCTGCTCTGTTGAAGCTGCTGCGAGCCGATGAGTGTGATGAATTGTTTTTGATGTTTAAGTTCTTCCGCACTGAAACGCCGAAAACTGCGTTCACTTTAGTCTCTGATAAACCTGATCAGCCTTGCTTCTGGTAACTTAGAAGTTGGAGCTATAGCGACAGTATAACGCGAAAGAAAAATGCGCCTTCACTGAGGTAATTGTATGTTTACTGTACATTGATAAATGAAGGTTTGCCGAATGTATGTTTTGGTGTTTGGCAGACATAGCCTCGTTTAATGTTTATATGTGTATCCTCGTTGATGCTTGGTACATTTCCATCCTGAGGACTAACATCCATGATAAATTTATTAAACAAACTATTGTGGTATGTGTAGATGTTAAGTGCCAAGGCATAATCAGAGAATGAGGTTTGATAGCAAGATGAGCGTCGCATATTAGAGGCGGAAATTGGGCTAAGGGCGCCATTCCTCAACTTTTTAAAGTGTGATTGAACTTTGTGGTATCTAAGAAAGCGTGTCGTGTCACTTCTGTGTATGTGACTTCATATCAAAGTGCGCATCAATGAAGAGAACTTCACTGACGTGCTGATATATATATTCTTATATATATATATATATATTTATATATATATATATTTATATATATATATATATATATGTACACCACTGCTAAAATACATCTCGTCATAAAAAATCTAGTCACTACAAACAAAAATCTGTCACAAGTGCAAGTCAGTAACTCTATATTGGGCCGTATATTTCTCAATGCTGTGTTAACCTTTATGTTCTACTGTGTTTTCTGTCGGACACCATAACACTCACTTTCCTGCATGTAACTTTTGCAATTTCATGGTGTTCTGTCACATGTTCTTTGGACTGCTTCCTGGCCTATATTGGTTATCACGATTACTTTCTGAAAGATCATTAAAGCCCATTCTCAGCAAGCTTTAGGGTGTCATTGAAGCTGGTACATCATGTGAACAATGATGAATTACGGTGGAAGAAGCAGATCGCAGTTACTGGGCCTGCTTGAATCTCTGCATGCGTGTGCTTTATTTCCCCTAGCTATTGTTTACGTGAAATTCCTTCTCAAGTTAGCATCCTACTAAACCAATAGTATTGCATTCCTTGGGAAGGCTTGCTTTCAGTTTACTTAGGCTACATTTCTGGTTGGATTTTTGTAGCTCTCGTGTAATGCGGCTAAAGCGAAAACAGAGATGAAAGGAACTCTGTTTTTTTTAAAGGCTCTTTCTTGGAGACCTTCGACGCAAAAATTTTTGTCTGCCTGTACTTTTGTCTGTTTGTCCGCCCATAACGGTACCCTAAACGGCACCAAAGTGGCCAAACGATACCCCCAAAGACCGACCCCATCTGCAGCGCCCACCAATATTGCTCAAGATTCAGCATTCATACTTGTGCAAGTGTCAATTAAAAAGCAATTACTGTGCATATCTGAGGCACGATAACTACACGTCAATATTCTGTATGTGTGTCTCTTACTAAAAAGGTATACACAAGTAATTATAAGGACCGTAGCATTTATCACCTTGCGCTGACCAGGCAACGCTTGCATGAAAAGGCAAGTGTTTCCAACACTGTGCTAAGACGAGATGGTGGTGGCACCTACCCGTCGCCTTGCGTTCTACACCTTATCACCTCCGAGAGGGGCGCGCATGGTGCGCGCGCTTCGTTTTCCAAGATAACTGCCAGATAGCTGCTCATGTCTCACGTGTGACGTGACTTGATGCGGCCATTCGCCTCCGCTGCACGCTCTGGGTATTCTAAGGCAGCGCCTCCACTATACCATTCACCGATTTTCTTGCGCAGAACATCACGTAAACGTTTTGTTCACACTCTCCAGATGCAAGACTATCGTCTTTCGGCGACAATTTCAGTGTAACATGCATATACGGGGCCAATTTTTTTGTGTACTATTCTTTGACGTGATGGAGAAGTGTGTTGTGAATTTCAAGTTGTGTCTGATGCCGTGAAGTGTTTCTGCGTTGTTTTAAAATTGAGTTGACAAAAAAACGAATTGTCGAGGCGTTGTGCCTCAGCATTGCCGGATAGCGCTTGTTTTGTAAAGTTGGCATTGCTGCATACATTGTCATTCTGCAGATAAGCCGGCTTTCAAGGGCAGCAGCAGTGTGCTTTCTGGGGATTATTACCTCGCTTCTTCACAAAATCTGAGGAACATTCCCACATGAATAAAGCTAACATACAATAATAATTTGGTACTTTCACTACGCCAATTCGTTGACTAAACGAATATATTGTTATTCAGTTTTATATAGTGTTACTTCTCGCCTCCTAGGGAAAACTAGTCGGCGGCGCCATTGGAGGTGAGGTCGCCGGACAGTCCTCGATTTTAACAGAAATACCTCCTTTAGCTTCCATGTTTAAAAATAAGGTTCGAGTGTTTATCGATGATGTACCAACAATGGCATTGGTGGACACAGGTGCAACCGTGTCAGTGATGAGTTTTGTTTTCACCCGCCTCCTTGGACGAAAGGTTATGTTTTGTTGGGACCGTTCTGATACGTTCGTTGAGTGAGCAGAGATGCGTTACAACTGTTGGTGTCTGCACTGTGACTGTTAGTTTGGCGTGCCAGAAATTTGTTGCAAAGTTTGCTCTTCTCCCTCATACTACGCATTATGTCATTCTGGACACGATTTCTTGAAGCTATGTGGTGCCTACTGTCGATTGCTGCACAGGACAAATTACAGTAGATTCCGATATTCCAGTTGCGTTTATGGAAAACTCGCCCTGTCAGGAAGGTGCTCTTTGCGTGTCCGTGGTCACAACTGTGCGGCCTTTGTCTGCAAAATGTGTCCCTGTTGTTTGTTCGCCTGCAAGCGAGAAAACATTTGACGCAACCATGGGGCCCATGCATCTTAGTTGCATAAAGAAGACAGTTCTAATACCCTACTGCACGCTATCGGTTGTGCAAGGGCATACTGGTTTATAGGTGATTAACTGCTCTGATCCTACAGTGCTGCCGGAAGGTCTGAAACTTGCAGAGATTCGTGAACATCAAGTATTCTCACTTGCCAACCTTGCAGAGAGCAGCGATTCCCCGGGTAAGGCCCGTTGCGATAATCTACACGCCAGGGACATCAGCATTATGGCTATGATTGACAAGTCACTCAGCACTAACGAATGTAATGAACTGGCAAGTATTCTGCGCAAACATGCTGGTATTTTTGATTTCGCTCAGCACGATCCACTGTCATTCCCTGCTTCTCGTATTAAGCACCGACTCGACACGACATCTCACAGGCCTCTCTGACAGAAACCATATCGTGTACCGCCTTCGGAACGTGCAGTGATCAATGAACAGCCTTGCGAGATGCTCAAGAAAAATGTAATCCAAGAATCATGTAGTCCATGGGCCACTCCAGTAATTCTA